GGCGTGTCTGCGAATATGCAATGCAAATGTTAACGCAACTGCGTAGTAAAATAAAAAAGGAGGTGATATTTATACTTAATTCATAGCACATTTGATGCACATCGCTGTAGTGTGGCAAATGCCGATGACAGTCGCAGCGGCCACCTGGCAGAAAGAGATCACCCGGTGCGGTGCAGGGACCTCTGGTATAGTGTTCGTGGCACGTCTCCTCTTGGTCATAATAGTAGTCACGCAGTGTACCTTCTGCTTCGCACTGAAATCAAGTTAAAAGTTGGGGTAAAATACATTTTTCTTTCCACTTTCAAGTTATGTACATATGTACTAACCTTGCACTCGCCCAGCCCATCTTTATTTAACACCAACAGCTTGCCCCTAACACAAGGCCCTTTGGTATATTGCGCATAGCATTTACCTTCTTTTGGCCAGTAAATCATGCCTACCGGACACTGTCTTGCAATTTTGCAGCTGCCCCAACGATTGCTAGACCTGTAAGTGCATTCAATTATTTACTTACTAAATTTCACTTCAAATCAAGACCATCAGCGTACTTTCAATCGAAATACTGCTTACCTTCTACCCCCACTGACTGCCGTCCGTTCTTCTGGCATGGGCGCAAAAAAGGAACCATGTTCACATGGTCCGCGTTGAAAAATATCATGACATTTATTCGTCTCCGCACTTAACGCGGTACCTGGCGGACAGCGACATTCGGCAGATGGCGCATTATTTCGCGCCGCCTTCGTTTTGCCTCCATTGGGAGCTGGACTCAATTCCATAGTTTCCGGACAGGGATAACCGATCGTGAAGATTTTGAAACATTGCTTGAGTGGTGGCCAATAGAGTAACTGCCAACCGCCAGGCATGCTAGCGCAGGGGTTCTTCTCGGGATCACTCCAAGGTGGTGGTACGATCGCCGCTTGGGTTGTTTTGTTTAGGAGTAGTGTGAGAAAGGCGATTATACTGATACCTGAGTGCAGCACGGTCCAGCAGAGCAGCAGCTTTCGGCGCTTCATTCTTAGTATCTCTGTGTTGTTGGGGGTAGCGTGCTAAAAGAAAAAAAAAAAACTTATTAGCCAATATCCACGATAGTCTTTATGTTATTCTGAGTGTATCTATAATTTGTTGCGATGTTTTCATTTAAGTATCCTTGTCTTAACCCTGAACCATACAAATAGTCAGCACATTCGTTATAGTTTCGAGAAAGTAGACACTTTTCTTAGGAACCAGCATTAACACCGATAATAATGTCAGCATCGAAATCCAACGCAGAATCGCTCTTGCCAACAAGTTCTACTTTGGACTCAGTAGGTAATTCAGGAGTAAAGTCCTTTATCTACGTACGAAAACCACACTCTGTACGTCACTCATCATGCCCGTGTAGGTATACATATAGCGCAGAAGCATGCACAATGACAACATCCGATGCATTCCCACGACAGCCGGTTCTACGTACCGGAATGACTCGGGTTTTACCCGACCAAGGACTGTCGTTTCGGCGACTTAACCCCGCTTAGATCGGCGATACCCTTCAATGTCTGTCCCTGGAGCAACTCCCTGCAGCCGATTGCTCCGCATCCTTCTCCGGGCGGGCGTATTTCTGCTGTGTTTGCCAGAATCGACTCCATCCGAACTCCACTTCGGTTAGATGCAGCTCATGCAACGGATGGAGTCACCTAAGAACCTGCTCTGGTCTTAGGTCTCACCGGGAGTGGACCACAAGCTATGTGGCTCCCTGCTGCTCAAGCCAAATGGCACAATCAGCCTCCACGGTAGTAGGTGACGTCAACGCGCACCACGATCTCTGGCACTCTAGCCTGGCCAATGATCGTAGGGGAAATCTTTTGGCTGAGCAGATAGACGATTCGACATTCTGCACCATGAATGACGACGCCCCCACCAGGATTGTGGGTAGCTGCAGCAGCTCGCCAGACCTTACAATTGCTAGCGCTGGTCTGATCAATAGCATATCATGGCGACCTAGGCTAACACTAGCATCAGACCATCTACCCATAATCATCTCGATCAATAGCTTCGCTTCAGCTTCGCCGACCTTCGCACACCCGCAAACGTACATGCTGGCGAACGCCAGTTCCGCAGGGTAGTCACTGCCACAGCGGCTCGCTTCATCTCGTCCGGACGTATCGCGGAAGTTCGCCCAAATTTCCCGGCCGAAGCAAATGAGCGTGACCACCTACGCCAGGTCGATCCCGGGGACCCTCGCCTGAGGGACCTTAATTTGGAGATTCGGCAACTGGTAAATCAGCACAAGCGGAAAAAGTGAGAGCAGCACTTGAAGGCCTGTAACTTCACATCTGGTGTGAGTAAGCTCTGGTCAACCGTGAGGCCCTTGTCTAACCCAACGAAGCGTAATGACAAAGTGGAAATCTCATTCGAAAGTCGCGCTTCGTCGGACCCGAAGAAATGCGCAACCTACTTCATCCTTCGGTAGACAGGGCCAAACGTCGAGTGACCAGGAGGCTGCACAAGCTGCCAAAAAACAGTGCACCACTTGTTTTCACCAGCTGTGAAGTGAAGGGCGCTATCGGGAAGGCGAAAGCCTCCAAAGCCATTGGACCCGACGGAATCTGTATGTTGATGCTGAAACATTTGGGGCCTACGGGAGTAGCTTACCTAACGGAGGTCCTCAACCTGTCTTTGGCCACTCTCATCATTCCTGATGTGTGGAGATCAGGGAGAGTGGTCCCACAGCTGAAACCGGGGAAGCCCGCCTACAAAGGAGACTCTTATCGCCCGATAACGCTCCTATCCCCGGTCGCGAAGACACTAGAGGCCCTGCTACTCCCATACTTCACCTGCCACCTGACCCCAGCGAAGCATCAGCACGGATTCCGTAAAGTGCGTAGCACTATAACAGCACTTAACGCCATAAACACCCAAATAACTCGTGGTCTAAATCGAAACCGCCCCTGTGAGAGAACGGTCCTAGTAGCACTGGACTTGTCAAAGGCGTTTGACACCGTCTGCCATTACACGCTGCTAGAAGACATTGAAGCCTCCTCACTCCCACAGGGACTGAAGCGATGGTCGGCAAATTATATGAGTGGTCGACAGTCGTCAGTAATCTTCTGAGATCAAACCTCGAAACCAAGAAGAATTATACAAGGGGTAACACAAGGTGGTGTTCTCTCCCCCTTATTATTTAACTTCTACATCTCGAAGCTTCCCCAACCACCTGAGGAAGTTTCCCTGATCTCATACGCTGACGATTGCTCGATTTTGGCGTCCGGGAATGGAATTGATGACCTCTGCTCAAAAATAAACGACTATCTCTCCAGCCTTTCTCGCTTCTTCACTGCAAGGAGCCTAAAACTCTCCCCAACGAAATCAACGGCGACCCTCTTCACCACCTGGACGAAGGAGGTCAGGCTAGAATTAGGTATAAACGTCGATGGCACACCAATGCCGACTGCAAACAACCCGATAGCCTGCTCTCCTACTCCACGCACACAACCGCAGTTGTCAATAAAGCACAGAGCCGCAACAAGGTCCTCAAGTCGCTCGCCGGCAGCACTTGGGGCAAAGACAAAGAAACGTTGCTGGCAACATACAAGGCAATTGGCCGGCCGGTTCTAAACTATGCTGCGTCAGTTTGGACGCCGGGGACTAGTTGAACGCAGTGGGCGAAGCTATAGACTTGTCAGAACGCCGCACTCCGGACAGCGACTGGGTGCCATCTGATGACGCCTGAGCACCACCTCCACAGCGAGGCCCATGTGCTCCCCGTAAGGGAACACAACAAAATGCTTTGTAAGCAATTTCTGATGGGGTGCCACAGAAGCGAACACCCAAACATACCTCTGCTTCAGGAGGAGCCTCCGCCCAGGCACGTCAGGGGGCACCTATTCGTATACAAGGACGCAGTCCAGCAATACGTAGACCACCCACTGGACCCGACGACATACAGACGAGCCATTAACGACATCCATAGAGACTCTCGACCTATGAATGCCGTAATTGGAGCCCAATCGCCACCAGTAGAAGAGACGGAGCTTCAATTGCCAAGAGGGACGCGCGTTACCCTGGCTCAATTACTGTCTGGATACTGTAGCCGCCTCAACAGCTACCTGTCCAGACTCGACCCCAATATCCCCAATGAGTGGCCGGCATGTGGAGAATCCCCTCACGACACCAACCACCTCTTCACATGCCAGCTCAATCCGACTCAACTAACACCGCTCTCCCTCTGGTCCGACCCCATTGAAACAGCTTGTTACCTGGGCCTCCCGTTAGTTGAGCTTGACGACAATGATTGAATGTTGACCCGAAATAGGCGGGGCTTAGTAGTGCCGCTACAACAACATCAACATCCGATTAGGCGGCTCTTGGAGTATTCGAGAGAAAGATTTTGCCTTTACGCGTTGGCGACGGCGAGTACCGCAGACGATGGAACGATGAACGTATGAGCTTTACAACGGCATGGACATAGTGCAGCGAATTAAAATACAGCGGCTCCGCTGGCTTGACCATGTCGGTCGAATGGACTCTGACGCTCCAGATCTGGAAGTATTCAACTCGGAACCCGCTGGTAGTAGCAGAGGAAGAGAGAGGCCCCTACTACGATGGAAAGACCAAGTGGAGAGATTTGGTTTCATTGGTTTGAACTCGGCCAAAATCGCTTAGGCGGTTACAGCGCCAATAAAAAGAAGAAGATATGAAAGGTATGAAATCTTCGGCATAGCGAAGACAGCACTGTCCTTAACAATTTTTTGTTTCTTGTTTCCTTTAGGGAAGTTTCTATGGTTTCATAATAGGGTTGAAGAAAGCTTCAGGTCAGGGTCATTTGTCTGCTGATCAAAAGTTTTTACAAAAAACATAGTTTATAGGGAAATTGTTCGCCATTAAATGTAATGTAAAGGAATTATTTAAAGTTACATAAAAAGTGCAGAAGAATCATAACTACTCACGTGGTATATACAACTTATTCCAAAGACCGAAGGATTAAGGACTTAATTAAAAGAGGGAAAAGAGGTCTTGAGAGTATTTTAATGAGGGCTTATGCGTGCCCTTGGCGTTTTTGCTCTTTATTGGCGAATTCGTTTTCCACATACAGTGCCGTACTAAAATATTGGAAATTTTTGGGTGAATTTTTTTTTTTTGCGAAACTCGGGATAAGGCATAATATGTATATGCAAAATTTTTTACTTTAATTTTTTCCGCTAGTTTTTTATAAAAATGTTGTTCATACTATAACAAAAACCCTAAAAATAAAATCTCTCAACTTTGTGCTAAACTCGGAAAAAAATTAATAAATTTGCATACAAGTTTTTAACTTTTAAATCAGGTTTCTACAAAGCTCTTAAGTATGTAGTTTTAGAGCCCATTCAATTTTATTGAGTGCAATAAAGTGCAAAAGTTGGTAGAAAATCGCGTTGATATTTGGCGCTTTTTTCACGCAGTTTCTTCCATACAGGTATGTGATAATTTTTTTTTGTTTAGTGCGGCACTGTATCTATATGTAGTTTTGCTTGCTTTTCAATGATCATACAATGAAAAAAGTGAAAAAAAAAATCCGATGCCTCCCTACCGTAGTTGAACTAATTTACTTTATAAACTGATACATACATATGTATGTAAAAATGTACATTTGAATGTTTTTAAGCCCGTCTTTGTTCAACATATGGTTGGAAATTAAATTAAGACATGTTCATACGTAATAGGCTAAAGTTAACTTTCGTGTTGAAATTAATTCCCCAAAATTGTTTTGTAAACTGAGTTCCCCAAAAATGTTTGGATTACAGGTACTTTGTGTAATCATAACATCCGTGTTACATATATTTAATTATATTTTTCAATGTGCGGGTAATTATGTAAATTTTTTTTTTTACTTAAGTAACTTGCTAAAACAATTACTTACATTGTCCTTGATATTTATGAAGGAAATCGGATGAAAATTAACATACATATCTACTTACATACGTATGCATAGATGATAACATATGAAAAATAGTTACGTACATACAAAATGTCCTTGATAATTAAAAAAAAAAAAAACATAAAGCTCTTTAGCCGAACAGCCATAAGCAAG